AATCAGTTGTTTAGAGGCGCCCGAGATCCATGTATGCTATATGTGAAAATTTTGGCATCTCCTTATACACCTTCGAGTTTTCATTGCTATCTCCGCGAATCATCTGCTCACTGTGAAGCAGAAAATTTCAGAAATGTAGACTAAAACTGGACACTGAAGACTGTAGATCGAAAACTATTTTGTATTTGAGGTTTACCACCGGAATTTCAATCGCCTGTGCTTGAGCTAATGAGTGCGCCAAAGACAGAAAAGATTGTTAATTTTGTGGAGAAACTGGAAGATTTGTTACAAAAACAAGGAAACAAGGAGCCACTTCCGGAATACTGTGATGCTGACCCCCTGCAACAGTCGTTTGTTCAGCTAACACGTGATCAACAGGAAGACATACTGCAGTTTACCAAGCACATCTTCCGAGGTTTCTTTTGAACTTTTTTTTTTGCAAAACGACTGCGCTATCGGTTGTACACCAGTAACAACTCACCGATCTAAGCTCGATTCCAGAGGAATTGTGAACTGACTCCTTTACCATTCTCACTTAGCTCATATTCACTCCACTGCACAACTGTCGCTCTCTCTACATTTACCATGAAGAAATAACGCCTTGGGCCACATAACAGAAACTATATGACAGACTACTCGGATGACAGTTTAGCGTCGATGCTTCTCTTTTGTTAAATTCTGTGCTTCCCTGCTCACTAAAAAATTCCCCTAGTGTGTCCAAACATCACACAAATTTTCCAAAACTATCCCTAAAGCGCTTTTCAAAGCCGGGATTTGCTGATCTGACAGAACTAGAAAGTTCTTGCTTGCAAGGAGGAAATGAAAACTTTGTACGTTCAGTCACCACAAATGCTTGTTCAAAATATATCATTCAAGGAAAAGCTGATTAATGAACTTCGATTCTTTTGCGAGAGGATAAAATCTGCAAGAAAAAGACCTATGCTTGAGAAAAATTTCAAATTCTCTAATGATACTAACTAGTAGTTGTTGCAGACCACCTCTACGGTGTATATGATGAAACGTCAGTGGCGTCGTTGAATAGTGATTTGGATGATTTGATGCAATCGTTGACAAACAGAGTCCGTGCAACGAGAAAAAAACAACGAAGAAAAAGATCCAGAAAGCGTGGATTTTATTCCGAAGGAGAAAGTCTGTTTATGGAAACAAATTTTAAGATTAATTGTAAATTTCAAAAAAAAAAAA